ATTAGGTACCGAATTTTTACGGCCGAGACTGAAGTTCAGTAGCAGTAGAGTCTAAAGACCCGTCCACATTACTCGTGCTCGTGCGTCAGAAGCTTACTGCTGACATCTGTTGTGAAGAAATGCGAAGGCTTTGTATGCAAACCAGTTTGGGTGTCCACTTCGTCAGCTCCAGATCCTGATTTTCCGGCAGCAGTAAGCTTCTGACGCACGAGCACGAGTAATGTGGACAGGCCTTAACAGATTTTGCTTCATGGAGTGCAAATTGGAAAATTTTACCTCCGAATACTTTGATTTTTCCTAGGCAATTATTATTTGATTAATATCCCTGAAATATATGACAGATACAACCAGCCCTAAATCAGCTATACGCATCTTAACATATACTGATATTTTTTTAAAATCAATTTAAAAGTTATTAGAATATTTGGATCTCCATTAGAGTGTTCTTTAACGTACATCTGTCATAAAGGTGATTAATTAAAGAAACGACCTTTTATTCTGGGAACATAATGACAGTAATAAATTCATTCTTCAGATAAAATAAGTTACTGACTCCTAAAGCATATGATTCGCATAAGTACTATGATCTTTTAAAGGGCCAACATAACTTCAAACAAGAACATAAATTCACGATGAAGCATCTTTACCTCATTATTCTCAGCAGTTTTACTCAAAGTCTGTCTCGCCTGATAACCTCTGAATGTTGCTTGAATTGTTGTAGCAGCCCGGTTTAACTCCTTAGCCTCTTCCTCAGCTGTGTCTGTCTCTGTTGCTGGCTTTTCTTCGTCCTCTGTTAGCTTATCTTCTAGAGCAGGTTCGACAGCGGCGTCAGTCCCTGTCAGTGAAGGGATATCATCAGTTTGAGCATTGACTGAGTAGGCAGGCGATTCCGTCTCCGTTGTTCCTCTTACTGCGTTGGATGAAGACCCTTCTTGTTCACTGGCTTCCGCCACAGTCTCCGCTCCAACAGACGGCGAAGCAGTGGGCGGTCTGCTATCATTGCCTGCCTCGCCTGTAGCAGTTCCATCTTCCGATTTTTCTTGGATCCCAGTTGAAAGAAGAAGACTTGATAATGGCTGACTTGCAGTGTTCACAGTTTCTTGTTCTGTATCTGCAGGGACCGTCGGATATTTGGCGGTCTGAACCTCTTCTCTTGGTTCTGCAGACACTTCTGTACTTTCATTTTCAACCTCGGGCTCTCCTAGTTCTGCAGATGAAGATTTCTCAACCGTTACAGAGCTCACTGGTCGATAGCCTTCTTCTGCTGATTCTGTAGCATTTACTGGCCTTGTCCCTTCTAATTCTGCTGAATTGTCGGCATTTTCTGTTGCAGAACTTTCTGGTATACTTCCCTGCTCTGTAAATGAATCAGGAGCGCTGTCTCGTATTTTGTGTAATGTTTCTGTAAGATCTGCCGCTTCTGCCACAACACTCGATGGTCTACTTCCTTCATCTCTGGTTGAACCAGAAGCTTTGTTCCATTCTACAGTACTGTCTGGTCTGCTTTCTTCTTCTGTGAAACCTAGTGTAATTGCTGATCTATTGCATTCTTCTTTCGCAGATTTTATTTCTTCGTCCCTCGTGGAGTTTTCAGCACTTACTGAACTACTTAGTTCGTCTTTCTTTGGTTCTGAAGCGCTAGTTGGCCGACTTCCTTCTTCCTTTACCGCACTTGCTGCACTAGATGGCCTACTCCCTTCCTGCTCTGTCAGATCTGTAGAACTAAGTGGCCTATTTCCTCCCCCCTCTTTGGCAGATTCGGCTGTACTAGCAGATATGTTTTTATCTTCCTTGGTAGTTCCAACGCCACTGGCCGACGTGCTTACTTCTTCGGTAGATTCTACTGCGCTTTCAGGTATGTTTTCTTCTTTGGCTAATGTCTGACTTTCTCCCGGCTCAACGACTACTGCTTCCTCTACTGTAGAACTGGTTGGTCGACTTTTCGTTTCTTCTGTTGGAATTGCAGCAGTGTCTGGTAGAGTTTCTTCCCCTTCTGTGGTATAAGCAAGACTAATTGGTTGGTTTCCTAAACGATCTTCAGAAACATCTACGCTTTCTACTGTCGATGACTCAGTTTCTTCCATCTTCACGACCTCAGAAACAGTGAGTGTTTTGCTTTCATTATTTTTTGTAGGATTTTTAGCTTCAACTAAGCGATTACCCTTTTCTTCAGTTGTGTTACATACCGGCCGATATTCCACAGGCTTCTCTGGAACTTCATCCCCTGCAACAGAATTTTGTTCGCTTTCTTCATATTTTCCGTAGATTGCGGCACCCATCGGTCTTCCTTCCTCTAGATTTTTATCAGTAGTACTAGCCGGTCGGTTACCTTCCTCTTCTGTTGATTCATCAGCAGTAACCAGTATACTTCTTGCGGGTCCTTCTGTGATGTTGACATCATCGACTGTGGAACTAACAGGCCTCGCTTCGTTTCCTTTATTGGATTCTGTTGCACTTAGTGGTCGAATTTCTACTTCTTTGGTAGGCTCTGCCACATTGACAGGGAGAATATCTGCTGTCTCTACAGAGTTCTGTAAGGAACCAACCGTTGAATTTTCGGGAATTCTTCCACCAGCTTCTAATTCATCAGCTTTTATTAGCGGACTTCCTATAGTGTCTTGTGACATTTCTACTTCTCCTAATACAGCATTTCCTTCTTCCTTGATCAACTGTGAATCGTTGACTGGTCGAGTTCCATCTTCTGCGGTATATTCTGTAACACTAACAGGCCTGCTTCCTGCATTTTCTTTAGAGTGTTCTATGGTATCGGCTAACAAAATGTCGGGCCTGCTTCCACTATCTTCTAATTCATTGGCGTTAAGTGACGAAATTTCTGCAGGTTTTTCAAATTCTGTATTTTCTGCCGCGACATTTCCTTCTTCTTCTGCTGACTCTACAGAGCTAGTTGGTCGACTTCGTGCAGGTTCTTCAGAGACGTCTCCATTGTCCACTTCCGAAATCGTGGGTCTGCTTCCTTCCTGCTTTGTTAGCTCTGAGGAACTGAGAGGTCGGCTACCTCCTTCTTTGATTGATACGACAACGTTATCTGGCCGACTATCCTCAATTCTTTCTGAAAATTCGATATTATCTGCTGCAGAACCAGCTTGCCCAGCTTCTTCTTCTTTTCTGGATTCAGCAACACTTCGTGAGCTATTATCATCTTCACTGACAGAACCTATAGTCATTTTTGTTTCCTCAGTCTCCTGAGCACCACTGGCCGGTCTGTCCACACTTTCGCCAGTGGACGCTGGAAGAGAGTCTACCTGTGCAACTTCTGTGGCTTCAATAGCGGATTCTGCTTCATCTTTCGAAAGTGATATCGAACTTTCTGGTCTTCTTGTTTCTGTGGCACTAAAGGGACGGCTGCCTTCAGGTGATTCTGTGCCTTGCTCCATAGTACTCTGAGGTCTGCTACTAGGGGATTCCTTGTCGGTAGGTGATAAACTCGTTTCCACTCCTTGCTTTTGCTCAGGTACTGGTTCTCCTTCTACTAATGAGGCACTGGTTGGCCTGGTCCCGGCGACACCGGCACTTGTTGACTTTGAATCGACGTAATCCTCATTGATAACAATTTGTGAGGCACTTGGTCTGCTACCCTGTTCGGGAGTTTCATCCAGTTTGGCAGTGTATAGTTTATCTTCAGGCACTGGTTCTCTCGAACTTTCTACGCTTGATTTAGGGGTGTCTTCAGGTATAAGTGTTGAGACAGACCCGCTGTCTTCGGGTTCTCCCTTAGCACCACTTTTAATGACAACATCCACAACTTCACGCCCAGACTTCACTGATAAAGGTGACTTCGCTTCGCCATCTTCAGTAACTTCAGCAGTATCCGCCTCGCTGTCCGCAGGCGCTGGAGAAACAGAAATACTAGCACTGCCACTCTGCGTGACGGCCTCGGTCTCTTCCAGAATTTCTTTTGAGTCTTCGTTGTGAGTGTTCACAACAGCTACGCCGGTAGCAACGCCTATGACAGCTGCTGTTCCAGTTGCAGCGGCAGTCAGTTTGCCAGCATCACCATCATCTGCTTTCAGTGTACCATTCAGCTCTGGAGCGGATTCGTTCTGCTTTTCGGTCAGGTTCAGCGCATCATCGTTCTGTAGGTCCGTAATATCCAGTGGTTCTTTCTCTGGGCTGTCAACCAGATTTGCAACATCGGCTGTGGGATCCTGAGGTATGCCTGCCTTCTCTGAGCCATGCGTAGACGATGGTGATAGCCCAGCATTGTGAGCTGAAAGGGAGAAGTAAACAAATTAGTATGCGCCTGTCATAAATATGGCGGTTAGCAAACAGAAAAATTGAAGTGGAGCAGAGTGATGGATGACTCCTCTCTTAACAGTTCAGAATAGTAAATAATGTTATATTTCAGCATCGTCTTACACTGAGATCTGACTTAGAGGTCTCTGCGTCGTCTAAGTGCAACTTAGTTCGTTGTTCCATTATTAGACACTACTTCACTACATATTTTGGCCTAAATGGCCATCTTCAGGTGTACAAGTTGCAGTAACTCAGATGGCCATTTAGGCCCAAATACTCGTATATAATGAAGTAGTGTCTAATAAATGAACAAGAACTACGTTGCACTTAGACTGCACAGAGACCCATAATTCAGAGTAGTAAAGATTTTCGGTCGTTCTAATTACGCGTACAATGATTGCCATAATTGTTATTCTCCTCTTGCTCTCACTTTGGAGCATAAGGCTGATTTCTCAATTTCATGATTATTTTACAGACGGTAGGACTCCTTGGTTAGGTGATCAGCTAGTTTCAAGGCCTCAACCTAAACACAGGACAACATAAGCACAGAATAAACGCATACATACACCAAATATTCATGCTTTTGTGGGATTCGAACCCACAATCCCGGTTTCCGAACGAGTAAAGACAGAACATGCCTTAGACCGCTCGGCTACCGTGATCGGCTGATTACCATATATCGGCATAAAATTAATAAAGCTACTCTATGGAATTATTTTAATATAAGGATACGTTTCCTCTGGTTAATCACAGTGACTGAAATAGAAATTCTGGCCATGTCTGACAAAATTCGTAAGTAAACAGCCATTGTTCGAGTATTGTCCACAGTCATTGCCGAATGAGATTCTGGCTCCTTCAATTCATCATACATTTTATTTCATCGTAAATATTCCATTGTGTATCATGTTACTATATATTTTCATATTATATGAAAATATTATTATTATTG